TTCAACATAAAAGTATCATTAACATGATAATGAAGTCATTAATCAATGATTCCAGCCTTATACCATATATTTATAACAACTAAAATAATCCACAACTTCAAATATCCTCAATTAGCAACTTTATTCACTAGTTCATGTCTAGCCCATCCATTTAGCTTAATCAACATCAAGATAACCTTAGGCACAAGAAAAAACACAATATACATACCTCCTACAGTAACTTCAAGTTAAAATCCAAGTTATATTCAGTTTACAACAACCCTCAATAGCAATACAACACTATAGAAGTGACTTAGGCTAATCCAAGTATTATCTTGTAGTTTATCATGCTAACAACTTAACCAACATATTAGCAAGCTTAAGCACAATTAGTAGGCTGTTATAATCACCTTACACAACAGCAATAACTTGGAATTTCATCCAAATACATCCCACAACAATCCTCAATGACAACACAATCTCAAAGAGGTGTTGTTCTTCACTAGAACTAAGTTTTGATGTTGAAATATGGTGTAATCACTTTGGAATCACTTCAAACCCTTGTGGTATATGTTTAGGAGGGCTATGAGAAGTTTGGAGACGAATTTTAGTTGAAACATGAGCAAAAATAGGCGTCCAAATCGTTTATAAATTGAAGTAGGTCAACCACCGCCTAAGTGGGTCCCATTGGGAGCTGCTTGCGCGGTCTCACAAAAATACGAATATCTCTCTACTCCGATGTTGTATTGACGAACGGTTTAATGCGTTAGAAACTAGACTCGTAGATCTTCAATTTGGTAGGTATAACACCCCATGTATCAAAGTATATTTGGAGAAATGCTCAGATACATTTGACCTAAATTTCAGCAAATTTATGAATGTAACTTGTGATGACCTTTGCCAACTCTTGTTCCACAACTTGCTTGCCTTCAAAATGTAGAAAATGAATATAATACAAATAAAATATCTCATAGAATAACCTCCTTATCATGTTAAGAACTATAGTCTCACCCCAAAGTACATGTTATAACATTCCAAACTTGTCGACTTTTGACGAAACTTATTTTCTTCAATTGGTTTAGCTTCTAAGATTTCCAACCCTCTTGGTACTCGTTATTCATGATCTTAAATATTTGTAACCTCCAAGGTAACATGATTAACTTACTTTATTTTCTTCCAAATATAATCTCATTTCCGAGCTTACATCAATGACTTACGATGTACTCTCACGTATGAAAACTTGGGGTGTAACATCATTCCCCTCTTTGGGACATTCGTCCTTGAATGTTGACTGATGCGCATATTAGTTTCATAAACTATGGCTCTTATGAATACTTTAATGCTCATCTTTCCATCTAAGCAACTTTTTTGTGAATAAATCCAAACGCTTGGGCATTCCCCCTTTTTAGGCCTCTTTGTCACGCCATGACATGTGGTCGGA